AAAAAAAAAACATGGCTATGGAAAATATTTTGTAAATACATTTGTATATTTATAAAACACTACTTTTTGGCTTCATGCAACAGTTATCAACATTGATGACCCTGTGGAATCATCTGTAGAGCTTTAAAATATACTGATTTCTGAGTTCACCTCTAGAGATTATATTTCAATTGGTTTGGGCATCAATATTTTTAAAAGCTTCACAGGTAATTCTAATATGCAGCCAAGGTTGAGAACCACTGTTTTCATGAGTAACAGATGAAGGTTACTAGATGATGCCTACACTATTAGTCTGTATATTTTATTAGTAACCAGTCTCAATCATACATGGAATAATGTCTTCTAGATACCATTTTATCTTCTTTTTGAAAATCAGGGCACTATTAAAGTCACATAATTTGATGGGGAAAGAACACGTATGGATCAATTGCTCTATAGTTTAGAAAATACCTGAACTATATCTTTAGGCTATTTTAATAAATTAATTTAGTTTTGTTTTTCTTGTAGAGATATCATTTAATTAACTTTGACAAAATAAAAGTAGAGACTTTGATTATGTCATTGGTTATAACTACAATCTACTTCTTCTCCACAGATTTCTAAGGATCCTTTATGCCTCTGTGTAACCCAGCAGTTAATGAGCAACAATTGTGGTTATACACATGGGAGACTATTGCAAGTAAGGGAAAGAGAGAAAAGGTAATATGCTGGAAATTTGTCAAATTATGCCTTTGATTATAATTTACTACCAGTAGATAACATATGTTCATATTTCCATATTCAAATGTGAGTTAAAGGTTCATAATTTATACTGATAACCTATGAAATATTGCAAGATTGGAGCAAAATACATTATCATTGTCAATACTGGGCATAAAATGCACAGTGTGCAAAATATTATCACAACCTGAGACTTCATTGTTTCTCACTCCATGTTACACTTTTACTCTGGTGGCTTTATTTATTGCCTATTTGTTAAAAATTCACAAATCTACATTTGCGATTCAAATTTCTATCGTAAGCTCCACTGTGGAATAGTCTGTCACAAAATGGAACTCATTTCTTCCCATTCTAAACTCAAACCCATAAGCAATATCCTATTCATCTTCCTGTATTTCCAATTTCAGATAAATTAGATCATCCACTGAACACCTTAAATCAGAAAACTACTTGGCCACATCCATTACAGTTTCTTAGCTCATTGATACACAATCTGTCTCCACTGTCACTGTGATAACTTTAGTTCACATCTTTATAATTTCTCTCTGAGATTATGCCAATTACATTCACACTAAACCTTTAGTCTTATCCATTTTCATTTCATCTGTCCCATCGCCAGCAGATGATGTTTCTGGTCATGAAGTTCCTATGTTTAAAGTCCCTGCATGGTCTCTCATTAACTATTGTAGGAAAAAGCTCGAAAACTCTTTAACATAGTAAATAGAGCCTTTCATGATCTAACTCCTGCCTCCCAATTCCCTTTTACCTTCCTAGCATATTCATGAGCTCACCATGTTTTTGCATCTATTCATCCTACGGGCCATGCTATATTTGTGTCCACTTTATATACTCATCTTTCAAGACTTGGCTTGAAAGTTACTCCTTAAGTCTTTCTTGATACCCATTTTCCATTAGGTTTAGGTACCTCTTCCTCTATATCCCCATACCTCCTTCTATATTATAGCAATTAGAATAGTATTATGCAACTATCTTAATTAACGCATCTTTCTTCTTCAATAGAACAGTTTTCAATGATAAGTACTGTGTTTATCAGATTTTTATTCCGGGTGTCTGTGAGTGCTCTGTAAATGTTTATTAATGTACAAATGGAAAAAATGAATGAATAAATTAATGAGTTAATATGAAATTAATACAGCTCACCATTGGTCCAGGTTTTCCAGGCATACCATGTGCACCTCGTTGCCCCTAATTCGGAGAAAAAGGGACAAAACAGGATAAGATTACATTTTATACTGTATGTTCCTACAATTCATTGGCTTTACAAAAAATTCCCATGTTAAAAATTGAAGAATAAATATTAAAGTTAACCGACAACAATCCTCATTTGGTTAACAGGAATAAAAATACACATTTACACAAAATTGTTAAGGTAGTAATAAATACATCTATCCTTACAGCAATAAGAAATAAAAATGTAACTGTTTGCAATTATTCTTTTTATTTTAATGTATCACCTTCTATCATATTAGTTCAGAGAAAATGAAAATTTGAATACTTCAACTTTCTTAATAGCCAGATTAACTCAGAAGAGGAAAGTTTTCTTTGGAAAACCAAATAAAACAAAGTCAGCAAGGTAAAGAAACTGGATAGATGGGTTCCGCATGAATTAAATGTGCATCAGAAGAGAAATCATCTCGAAGCTTGCCTTTCTTTGCTGTCACAACATAAAGGCAAACCATTTCTACACCATATTGTCACGTGTAATGAAAAATGGATTCTTTTTGACAATCGCAAGTGTTTGGCACAATAGCTGGATAAAGATGAAGTGCCGAAACACAGTCCAAAACAGAATATTCATCAAAAAAAGCTAATGGTGTCTGTTTAGTGGTCCAGTGCTGGTATTATCCACTAAAGCTTCATGAAACCTGGTCAATCCATTACAGTGGATGTCTACTGCAACCAGTTGATGAAATGATGAGAATGCCTGCGATTAAGCAGCTGTGATTGGTCAACAGAGACAGGCCAATTCTCTTGCAAGATTACATGTTGCAAAGGACAACGCTGTTCAAACTAAAGAAGCTGGACCTGGAAACTCTGTCATCTACCGTATTCACCAGACCTTGCACCAACTGACTACCACTTCTTCCAGGCTTTGGACCACTTCTTGTAAGGAAAAGTATTCAATTCTCAACAATCTGTAGAAAATGCCTTTCACAATTCCATCACCACTTGCTCTGCAGGCTTCTTTGCTGCTGGCATAAGCAAGCTACTGTTAAGATGGCAAAACCATGTTGATAGTTTGGGTGCACATTTTGATTAACTGTACTGCTTCTTGTTTGACATAATAAACTAAACTTTTGATTCAAAATAGTACATTTCATATTTAATGACCTAATACCTGGACTCAGGAAGCACTATTCCTCATAAAAAAGATATTATACATCTATAAGACCTGAACAACAGGTAGAGGCAGGATCCAAGAAAGAATGTATGTATATATGGGTCTTGGTCCTGAAAGTGCTGGATCAAAAAGGACAAGATCAAAAAGGACAGTATATAAATTTAGAGAACTTTCATGATGTGGAAGCACTCTCCCACGATCCACACTTTAACACCCTGAAAAGAACTCTCGGAGATAGTGATAACTTGGGGGATGGTTGTTGGAAACTCTAAAGAGCAATGGCCCACATTGAGGTAGAAATGTCAGAAATGGCTTTGCACATGATGGAAGAAAGCACAGAAAAGTGAACATACTAGATTGGCTGTATTATTTAAAGCTGGATAAGCCAATAGCTAACTATATTCTACAATATTTTCTATATTCCGATAGGACCCTTTGCTTACCAAAGTGATAAGGAATGTCCTGGTGACAGGGTCTTACCCTTTCCAAACCAGTGCCCTGACTCTGGTATTCTTGAGAAGCTCTAGGGTGGTAGTCCTACATGGGCTACAGGTAGTAGAATGGGATGCGGTAAATCTGGGATTCCTAATGGTAATGGGGATAATAGGATCTTGAAATAATAGAGGAAACATGGTTATCCTTAATTGTCAGAAGCAAAGTGGGCACAATGTAATGCTACAAAATTAAAATATTAGACAGTATATCCCAACCTTCAGAGGGTTGTGAAAAGAATAATTAGAATATGCTCCCTATCCAGGTTCAAGGTACATAAGCAGTTGGCCGGAGTATTTCTCAATCTTTCTAATTAAAATGAATCAAAGACAGTTAATCAGGAGGCTCAATTCATTCAAAGGATATACTCACAGTATTAATACCTACTTCTTAGGATTGTGATGAACATAAAGTAAAATGCTTAGAAGAATGTTTGGCATATAATAAGTACTTGAGACATGTTTCCTATTATTATAATTTTATTACTGTCCAAAGCCCATGTTTTTCTATGGACTATATTCCATGGTCTTACGTGTTCATCGTTTTCTTTTTCTCTCTCTCTTTTTTTATTTCAGAGTATCATAGGGGTACAAACATTTTGGTTACGTGAATTGCTTTTGTATAGTTTGAGTCAAAGTTCTAAGTGTGTCCATTACCCAGACAGTGTGCATCTTACCCATTAGGTGTGAATTTACCCATCTGCTCCTCCCCTTCCCACCTGCTTTATTTCCATTCAATTTTACTACCATGTGTGCACATGAGTGTTGATCTATAAGTTTCAATTTAGTAGTGAGTACATATGCTTTTTGTTCTTCCATTCTTGTGATACTTCACTTAAAAGGATGGTGTCCATCAAACTGGTATTAACTGATCAACACATAAATTCACATATAAGAATAACATCTATTGGATGTTGGGCAGGGGAGAGGGGGGAGGAGGGGACGGGTATTTTCATACAGAAAGACTGCAATGTGCACCACCCGAAGGATGGACATATTTGAAACTCGGACTTGGAACGGGGCGGGGGGGGCAAGGGCAACATACGTAACCTAAACATCTGTACCCCCATAATATGCTGAAATAAAAAATAAATAAATAAAAATAAATAAAAAAAATAAAAAATAAAAAGGATGGTGTCCAGTTTCATCCAGGTCATTACAATGGTATTAGTTCACCATTTTTTTTCTTAATTTTTATATTAAAATATAATAAGTAGGCAACAAATGTACTGTGGCTATGTAAGATGTTAACATTAAAGCCAGGTGAAGAGTATATGAAAATTCTCTATACTATCTTTTCAACTTTTCTGTAAACCTAAATTTATTCCAAAATAAAAATTTAAAAAGTAGGTGATCGGTACCGTTAATCTTCACACTTGATTTTAGCCAAAAGGCTGACAAACGATAGTACTGTTAATCTCATTTAAAAGGCATATTCAGTAAAGCAAGTCTGAAAAAGATTTAAATTACACATCTCAGCAATATAAATAAAAATAGGTTTACTTACAGGAGCACCCTGTGGGCCAAGTCTCCCTCTCTCTCCTGGCATTCCCCTCGGACCCTGTAGATGAGAGTAAAACTATCTCTTGAAGTATCTAATTTGAACTACAGGTAGTATAGTTGTAAATCTACTACTTAATCCAATTGAAACTCAATATAATTGGTCACCGAGCAGTAGTATTTTTAGGGGCAATGTTGGGTTCAAAAAAGTATCCACCTGTGGAGATACATAACCTATTGTCTCTTACAAAAATAAATTTCTCTTAACCTAGCTCTAATGGTATGAATCTACAATAATACTGATTTGATCACTAAGTATAAAAAAAGAATAAGGGCATTCAACAGTTAAGAAAAACAATGAAATGTAGGAATCTTTTTTCATTACAAGGGCTCAGTTCTTTTGGTGTGCTTGCCCATCAGCTGGTAATCAAGATCATTTCACCAGCTAACATATGCTCTCCATGTCTTTTTATTTTTTCATTTAAACATTCTTTTAACATAATCTAAAAAGTGAAGAAATAGAATCTTAGAAATCTAAGAAACAAGGAAATCCATACGTACCAGAGGACCCATGGCACCCATTTGACCAGTAGGGCCAGCTTCACCCTAAAGCAAAAATTAGTTTACCGTTACAGTGTGAGAAACCTACAATTGATATTCACATCACTTTGTTCCATGTATGTAAAATTTTAAAGGTATATTTTCAGAGGACATATGAAAGGTATAATTTCAATAAAGATCTCAGAATTTTATTTTATTACCTTTTCTCAAAATGCAAATGAAAATTAGTTTCTATAGAAATAAGTCTAAACTAAAATTGGGGATTTAAATAAGACTGATGGAAACTATCACACCTACCCACAGTAATTAGTCTCAAAAAGGTACTTATATGTCTATGTCTGAAATGTCTCAAGTAAAACTTTATAAAGCTAAAATTGACCATAATACTCTCTTAAGATCCATTATGGGAGACTTAGAAATAAAAATTTTAAAGTCAAATGCTTTTCCATATATATCTCATGATGCTTCCCACTAAAAATTCCTCTATACTTTGTTGATGTTTTATCTCCCTCTAGAAACATAAATAAATTTTGGGAAGAAACAATGTCCAAAGGGTTCTGGTATTAAAAAGGCACTACAGAACAGGGCTAATGAATCATCTAAACTGCTCAGATATTTTTAAAGAAAACAAATGAATGTCTTTTAAAAGATGGATTCATAGCACCATCTTCATATAAATACAATACCTGTCTTACATTGGCAGAAACCCAGTGCCATGATGGCTATTCTTGGTGGCATAGTAAGGTCTCGTCACCTAACGTAGTTAAGCCATTGCCCCTCATCTATGAAAAATTATACTTCTTTGCCTAACCATTCATTTATTAATACCCCTCTTTCCTCCAGAATTATTTACGGTGGTTCTGAGACATTCGTAGGCACTTGAAGCAGAGCTGAAATGCTACAGTGAGGTTTCATTGAGGTATTATATAATTACCTTGGAACCAGTTGCTCCAACTTCACCTTTAGGGCCTTCAAGACCTTTGTGTCCCTGAGAAGAAAAATATTAACTTATATTTGCATCTTGTTTTATAAATTCTCAAAAATATACAAGAAGAACCAAAAATAAGCTCATGGAAAATGCTTTATGAAAAGAAATCTCAAATTAAAAGTTGTTGTTGAAAATATTTTCAAATTCTCAAACTTTCTGGAAAATTTACTCAAAGAAAATTAAAGTAAGGCTTTCACCTTTCAACCTGCAGTGTTATCACTTTGCAAACATTCGTGACTTCATAGAAATTCAATCTATAGCTACCAATAAAAAAACTTATAGTAGCTTTAAAGGAAACACACAGTTATAGACTTCAGATAGTTATAAAATATGAGTTATTATTCAGGGTGATATTCAAAATATTTGAAAACTAGTATGGCAGCAAACATTCTAATCAGAAGCTCAACTACTCAAAACAGAGGATAGTCAGTGTACACTGAACATCAGCCTTGCTTTCTGATAGACAGATATTAATAGATATAGATAGAAATAGATTCTGTATATTTATACAGTATATTAATACAATGGTTGCATATTAATGATCTTGAATTATTAAAAAGTATTGTATTATCTTCCACTTCTGGGTAGTCTGAGCCCCTGCTGCGACCTAATGTACTTTCTACTTGTATCATGTCACTTTTTCGACTATGCAGTAATTGCCCACTTTCTCATCTGTATCCCTTATTAACCTGCAGCTGCAGGCCAGAGACTTTTCTCATTCATCACTATATCCTCTTTGGTAGCACAGTATCTGGCACACAGTAAGAACTTAAAATATATTTCTTTATAGAATCAAATGAAATTCAAAGGAAATATAAAAAAAGCATTGTGATCTCAGTAACTACAGATAAATACTGCAACCACAGCCAATGAAGGACAACTGACAAATGGAATTGTAAACATTTCAAAGGTAACGCTCCAGAAACCCTACTCAGTAGACCGTGATATCTGAGGATGACAATGGATTTAACTTACTCGGTGACCCTTCAGGCCTGGAAGACCAGGAGCCCCAGGAAAACCTCGAGCTCCCTAGGGAAAAAAATTAGATAAGACATCTTAGAATCATTAAGCTTAATATATTTGTTTTTTCCAAAAAAATATCTGCTACACAGTTTTTCACCCATATACTAAAGAAGATAAAAAAGCAGTATGCTTTTGTCTGTCAAAACATATCTGGGCGATCATAAAATAGCAAAGTACACAAGCTGTTAGAAATAGAAAAATGACATACAAAGACATGAGTTAATGTCATATATTGATCTGATGACATTTTCAAATTGTCAAATGATATTGTGTTATAATTAGTAGCAGAAAACAAACAACAAGAAAATAAGCATGAATCAGCAAGGTTAGTGCCTGAATTGATTAGGCCATGGTATAGGAAAAAAAAATCTGGAGAGAAATTTAAGAGAAAATATGCTTTCCCTCCTTTACGTTGTGCTTTATTTGTGATGTAGAGTAAATGTATTTGTAGCAAAACAATGTGTATTTCGTCTGAACTTTCGAAAACTGGCAGCAGAATGTGATCGGAAGGATAGTATTATAATGAGATCAGGAAAAATTTTTAAATGAAATGTTTAGGAGAGGCTTTGTAGATTAATGATTGTTTAAAAAACTAAATGAGGAAATAAAATATCCAACAGAAAAGAAGGTCAGGAAATACGACAATGGCTTTGTTTCTTGACTCAATAATTTCTTAATTTGTGCTAATCCCATGCATCTTTCACCTAAGCACATTAAATAAAAAACAACAGAAACACAATAGAAAATCAAATCCAATGGTATGATTATTTTTAAATGATGCTTGAAACATTTTCTTTATACTCTCAAAATAGATGATGACCCAGTGACTTAATTATTTACTTATGTTCATTGCTTACATTAATTTGCTTTTGCATTGAGTTACCATTACCTCTGCCACCAGTATATTGAGCACCTTGATAGCATAGATTGATCCTATCAATTATTATCAATTATTATTAGTCTTCAAATCCCTGGCACTTAGCCTTATGCCTGGTTAGTGGGCAATCAATAAATAATCATTGATAAACAACTGAATGCATAAATGGTTCAATATTTTTAACTCTCATAGCACTTTACCAAAACCTTTCTTAAGGAACTTCTCTTGTCTTAGCACAGACTTACACAGACGGCAAAATCCTTCTGCACTGCAAATCATAGGCTTCATTCACTACTTACTAAATGACTGAATAAGCAACTCAATAAATGAAATTCATATGATAAAATCAAAGCAATAATTCCTCTATGACCTCTTGGAAAATATTTCTTTAGTGTTTTAGGGAGGTATCTCGGTAATGATACATGAAATCATGCTCTCTGAACAAATGAAGTCCCACTAATTCTTCTGTTTACATAACCCTGCTTAGGAATTCTTTCACGTCAAGAACTCCCTTTAAGTTTTTCAGCTGAAATGCTCCCTTTTGCTGAGATTTGTCTCTTCATCCTGAGCAGGCAACTCAGTACACATCCATCTAAGCCTATAGGGGAATTACTGAGCTATGTTATTTCAAATAATTAGTTAACTTCAGCTTTTACTGTCTCTGAGGGAAATTCTCATGTGATTACATATCCCTAATATAACAAGAAAAGGAACCAGATGTCCTGATGCTCATAAAAAATTCTCATTCTGCTGACCCAGGACTGTCATTACAGCACAATCACACGTTGCATTGAGCTTGCAGAGTGCATCTGGGCTGTGCTGGCAGGGCACCTTTCCTCCCCACGGAGGGCCCACACTGTGAGTAAGCGCAAGAGTGCAACAGGACGCAGGAGATTCAAGCCAGGATTGGTCAAAAAGGACATCTGCACTAATGACTAAACCTCATGCCTTTGTCTGCCCTTACTTCCCAGCTGATGGGGGAGGAAAGGAAAGAGAGCAGGGAGCTGGGGGATTGGTTTTATGTTTGAAACTAAATAATCCTTAGAGTCCTGTAAATTCCCATAAAAGATAAGCATTCATTTATTTTTAAAAATTCCTAGCACTGAACCTCATCAACTTTCAGAAAATAAACAGAGAGTAATGTAGTACTGTTGTATTGAGTGGTGGAAACATTAGGAAATCATAGGAAATATAATAAGTAGGAGGCTGAATGTGTAGGGGCTGTTGGGGAGGAAAAACACAACGAATAGGAATGTTCGAAAAAGATGTTCGCTTGCTTATCATTCTCTAATCTCCCCCCATTGCCTGTGCAGCACATTCCAGGAAAGGGCCTAGAAAGTAATACGAGTGATGATAGACAGGTGGGTTTAGAGTATGGCAAAGTGGCCCAGGTCCTGAATTCTGGCCACGTGGGTTGCCAGGGACCAACCCTTTTAGTAAGCCAAGGAAAGAGAAAGCAGCTGTGTTAGGAGGGCTGGCAATCAGCATATCTTGTCATGAAATTTTAGGGTCCGGAATATTCATCAAGAATTTCAGCCAACATTAGGGTTTGGAGAGCAGCCAAAGAGGCTTCCTGTCCACAATATATAGTCCCTAGCCGATAAAAAAACAAGTCAACAAACTTTTCTTCCCAAGTAATCATTTAGACACTTGGGACAATACAAAATAAAAACATTAAAAAGATTTTAAAAAGATAAAGCAGGACAGAGATGTGAGTTGTAAATAGATAAGGCTGGTGACTCATTTTCTGAAAAAATTTTCCTCTTTTCTGAATAGTCTAAAAATTTGATACTCAGTCTGGAGAGTTCTCATGTTAGGTTACAATATAATTCTCTGACTTTAGGAGGGTTATTTATATGATGGCAATGCAAAGCAGGGAAGTGGAGTTAGCTATCACTCTGGTAAAATGTTCTGTGACGTTTTCCATTTTGACTGAAGGAACATTGCTTGGTTGCCTTCATTTATTTAGTGTCTAAAACATGTGCATACAATGAACTGCAAGTTAATTTTAACATTCTTTATTTTTTGAAGTTTGTCTTTATGTCATTATATTGACAAGTATAAACTTACCGGAGATCCTGTAAATCCCACTTCACCAGGATTTCCATTTCTACCAGGTTCACCCTTTATGAAAAAATGCAAGGGGTGGGGGAGGCAAAGAGGGATTAAAAGTTCTTGCCTGAGACTAAATGACAAATAAATTGCAGATGCAAAGCCTTCTTCAGAAAGCTCATGTGCAATGCTCTAGCAGTGTAAAAAAAAAATAAAACTAGGCTCTATTCCTGATATCAGTCTATTCTAGCAAGTTAGTTCATGACGCTTTCATTAATTTGTCCAGAGGAAGAGATGGATATAAATTATCCTGGTCTGATCTAGCTCACCATTTCACGAACATCAAAATTTACACACACACGTGCTCACATACACATATATGCTGTAAAATTCTATATGATCACATGACACTGAATTCAAGCATTGTTTCTTAAAATACTGCTGGCTTTTTCTTTCCTTGTGATAAAAAAAGGACTAGCAGAGATATTTTCTCAATGGCCAATCAATGTAATCTTCTCATGTAAATCTTATGACTCACAAAGAGAAAATATTTACTTGGTTTAGTATCACATAGAAAGTAATGGCCTACCGATAATTTTATTCTCAATTTTGGTACAACTAAAGAATCTAGAAAAGTAAGTCTGTTATTGCACACTGCTCTCTGATTACGTGTTTTTAATGTTAAAATCTGGATTTGAGTCTTAACTTTAATTAAAAATCCAATTGAAGAAATCACTTTTTCAGCCTTGGGGAGCCATATTGACACTATACTATTAACACATTTAAAAATTTTCCATGTAATGAAGACTGCATAATGATGTATTTTCATCAGAGAAATGTATTTTTTCTTTCATATCATTTCAGTGATTTCACCAGTAAAGGCTGTAGCTATTCTGACAATTCTAGTATCTCATGGAGAAGCCTTGATTGAAAGCCTAGGGAATGCAGGGAGATACAGTACTTGATAATATAATACTACCAAAATTAAGAGCCCTAGATTTTTATAAAATTCCATTCTGCGCTCTCCAGTTTATACTAAATTTAATGGGAGCTAAAAGGGTGGGAAAATTAAATTGAATTAATGCAGAACATTCTTGATAGCTCCTTTTTAGACACTTGAAAGCAAGAATGAGAAAGGTAGCTTACATCTTCCCCAGGTTTCCCCGGAGGGCCCTCTGGTCCACGTGCACCAATTGGACCCTAATAACAAAACAAAACAAAACAAAACAAAACAAAAGGAAATAAGGAATATTTACCTCCACCTGACAATAATATAATCCATAATATTGTTGAGACAAATAAAAAATATCAGAGAAAATAGTTTTAGTAATATTTTGAATTTTATGTTGTATCCTTCAGACCATGTGCTCAACAGAAAAGTTTAATTGCACAAATGCAAATATCTCAGTACTGTCTACTGAGCATATTCAAAGTCTTTGAACTTAAATACTCTGCCCCAAGAAACATACAGCTTAAGTACAGTCTATAGAACAGGATTCCAAATCTGGCTGATTATTTCTTGCTACATTAGAGAGGACCTGAGAAAATAAATAACTCATTATTTGAGATCATTATAATGGTGGACCCATATGTACCTGGGTCTACATGCTTACTTGACATTTACCATAGGTCCAGGTTCACCAGGTTCACCAGGAGGTCCTGAAGGTCCTGCACTACCCTGAAATTGAGAACAAATTATATATAAAAACTAAATAAAAACAGAATACTAAATCCTATACTCCCTGCAATATATAGCGTAGTTGTTCAGACTGCTGGCTCTGCCACTTTCCAACTATGTGATTTGGGGCAAGTTATTTAATCTGTTTATAACTCAGGTTCCTAATATGAAAATGAGAATAATAGTATTTCATTAAGATGTTATGGCTTTTTAGATAGTTAATGCATGTTAAGAACCTAGAAAACTGCTGGCACAGAGTGAGGGAGTGTTCAGTCAATGGTAGTTATCATCATCATCATCTTTTTCATCACCATCATCAACTAACTTTTCTATTCACTAATAGCTGGAAGTAAAACTCCGCACACACAATCATGACGGCATGGTAACCTTGACTGAGCTAAAGATTATTTTCTTTCTTTCTTTTAAAATTTTTTTCCTAATGCCTGTTAAATTGCTATAAAAATAAAATAGCTCTACATTACTATTTTATTGGTATTTGATAGGTGTAGAAAGTATAAAGTATTATGTTCTTCCTAATGATTCCATGGAGCAATCACTTTGACTGTTATTTCTAATAAACCACGTGGTGATGGCCTTCTATGATCTGATTTCATAGCCTTGGCATTGGCATATAACCAATTATGAGAATTTTTCATGACATGAGATAATGAACTGTTATTTCAGAAGCAAAGGCACATAATTCTTGGTATTGTAGGTCAGTCACAGAAAGAACTCAGATGACAAAAATTTAGTCCCATGAAGAAACCTTGAAAAACATATTGCTTGTGTTTCTAAGTGAATTCAAATGATTTAAAACAGCCCATTCAAAGTAAGCATTACAACATACAATTTCAAGGTCAGCCAAAAGCAGTCACAGCAAAGACTTACTTGCTGTCCTTGTAAACCTTGTGGTCCTCTTGGGCCAACGGGACCCTTAAAAAAAAATAAGAAAAAAAAATTGCATAGTATTCATCACAATTGTGTCAAATATTTCAAAAGTGTTGAATCAGCTTTAGAATCTGGAAAAGTAAAGCTTTAACAAGGGAATGATGACATTCTCCATCTGTACTCATTTGGAAGGCAGCTAAATTCAAAGAGATTAAAGCTTAGGCAACATTTGGGATGGTTTTCATACATACCTTCAGTGTCATAAAGAGAAATAAACAATATGCCTGTACACACCCAATGTTTTTAGGACAAGTACACCCACATGTGTAAAGCAGCAGCCTCCAACTTTTTTGGCACCAGATACCAGTTTCAGGGAAGACAATTTTTCTACAGAAGAGGGGAGGGGGGTTCAGGGGGGGCGCCTGGAGGGGATGGTTTGGGGATGATTAAATGCATTCCATTTACTGTGCAGTCAAACCTCTCTGCTAATGAAAATTGGTATTTGCAGCCTCTTCCCAGTGCTGGCATCACTGCCTCAGCTCCACCTCAGATCATCAGGCATTAGATTTTCATAATGAGCATGCAACCTATATCCCTCGCATGTGCAGTTCACAGTAGGGTTCGTGCTCCTATGACAATCTAATGCCCCCGCCCATATGACAGGAGGTGGAGCACAGGCGGTGATGCCAGCGATGGGGAGCAGCTGTAAATACAGTTGAAGCTTCGCTGGCTCACCGGCCATTCACCTCCTACTGTGCAACCCGGTTCCTAACAGGCCGCTGACCTTACCGGTCTGCAGTCCGGGGGTTGGGGACCACAGGTGTAAAGGGTGGTTCTTTTAAACCAGAACATCTGAATAAAGAAAAATCTTGGCACGCACAAAGTGATTATTAAACTGCCTATTCAATTCTTCAGCTTCCCAGCAGGTAACTCTTATAACTTAAATAAATAATTTGAATTAAAAGTTTATGAAACCGTCAACAACAATGACTAGATTATTTTGTATGTTTACAATTATCTGGAGCACTGAGTTTTCTGTGTTCTTTTTTTTCCCCACAACGTACGTGGAAAGTATCCACACAGACTTTCTTTCCTCATTTAAACATGAAGTGATTACACTTAGACATCACAAAGGGAAGAAAAGGAAAATGCAATTTTAGAAACTGTGTTAATATATGTCTGTTATAATTTTTTAAATGTCACACTTTAAAAAAATCTACTTTATTCTTATGGCAAAAAACTCAAATTTTTATATCGAATGGATCAGATACTTGAGCTAGTAAGAAAATAAAGGTTTCATTTAAAAAATAAACATATATAATTTAAACTCCAAGCGGATAAAAACTTATATATCTTAGAAAAAATATTCCAAGATAATGATTACATGATGTCATACCACTACTAGTAACTTTAAAATATACAAACAATGTCTAAAATAATCATAATGCTGGCCTAAATGACAGGTAGAAGGAGTGGTTATCTATGGGGTCTGACTTTACACTTCTTATTGCTTGCAATTGCATTAATCTGGAATGCTTTTGAATTACATTATGAGCAAAAAAGCCTGAGAGAGTTGGTTTGAAAGCATTAATTCATTCAGTAAGATTGCATTGCTACCAGGTGAATAAGATTGCAAATACCCGGTGAAAGTACTTGCGTAGAAAAAAATGGGAATCTTTTTGACTGTTGAAGAAATTCAAAGAGGATAAAAATGATGAGAAGACCCAGCCAGGAAATCTTAGAGTTGTTGAGATAAGGCAGCCAGAGAATATTAAGTATAAAATGATAAAAATGAAAATAGCAAAACATCTCATTTAAAAATTTTGCCAAATCACTGCTTCTAACAGTACCGTAAAATAGTTTGTTTTTAATTTATAAAGGTATAGGTTTTGTTATTGGGGTGGTGGTTGTATGTCTTAAAATCCTTTATTTCCTTCAAGTATTAAATGAAATATGCAGACAGCCCTTCGTTAATGTAAACAAATATTTTGCCTAGTTATGAATGCAACACCACTGGTCTTTTAACTGGTACATAGTAGGGTCTGATAAATAAATTAAATGAATGAATGGACGGATGTGTTTAAGAAGACACATGTTATTTTTTGACTAACTCACACCTTTCTTTTTACCATTATTTTTCCACAAATACTTCGATTATCAGTAAAATTCATGCTTACCACAGAGCCAGGCATCAGTCCTACTTGACTCCCAAGTCCAGATTTTTCATCCAACCCAGCCATCTGAGCTGAGAATGGCTGTAAAAGCAATGTGCTGACATTATTTCCACAATAAAAGACATTCATCATACTTTTTAGATTGAGCAATGTACACTTTCTGGAATTCTTATAGAATGACTCTTCTGAGAATCATTTTAAAGCATGGAAAAAGATTCAGGCTGTTTTTATTGTATGTGCTTTTGATCAACCATTCTGCCCCAGAGTATTTTACAAGTATGTTGCTTGAGAACAACTGTTGCAATGGGACAAATGTCTGGTACTTGATAAAAGCAGGGGTCATTTTGATAAGTACTTAGCCAGTCTAATTGATTTCAGGTTTAAATCTCTTTAACTGATTTTCTCCCACAGTTAGAGTATGCCAAACATCTGAAAAAAAGCCTGAAAGATTTTTTAAAAAACATTTATTTGTCTTAAAGATTCCATTCCAAAATTGCTTATATACATCTCAGTAGTTATATTAATTTCCAAATTTAAGTCAAATTTTAGTGGGAAAGAATTTTTCTTTTTTTTTTTTTAGACAGAGGCTCACTCTGTCTCCCAGGCCAGAGTACAGTGGCATCATCATAGCTCTCTGCAATCTCAAACTCTTGGGCTCAAGCAATCCTCCTGCCTCAGCCTC